AATAGAATGTGCAAACAACAGAATGGTCATTCATTTTTTCAAATGCTGCCGTTGTCTACAATATTGTCCTTAACTCTTCAAACAATTATTGTATAAACTTTTTATATCCTTATTTATTTTTGCTTGGATGATTATCTGTAACTCTAGAAGTTATCAAGAAGTTATTGATAGTCTCAAATGTCCTTACAATGCGTTGGTGCTTTGATTTCTCCATGAATCACTTCTTTTCTTTTCTAATCCAATGATTTTTGATTGTTCTCGTGCAAAACGTAATAGTAATGTTCTAACGTAACATTCTGATACTAGTTGAAAATATTCAGACAAAGATCTGATACCAGTTTTGAAATGCAATGAAATGACTTACTATCCCATGATGACTTTATTATGCTTCTACCCTTGTGTTGATGAGTTATTGGTTCCTGAATTACTTTGTTCCACTGGAATTGGTATGTAGATACTACTGTAGATCCATTACTATTACGTTTTTCAACATAGCAATCGTTAGAAAGGGGCAAAGTTACATTGATATTTCTGATTTATGTAACAAGTCAAGACATCGAAGCACCATGCATATGCACTTTCAGACTGTTAATACCTCCTTGTTGCTACTCGAAGAAGTGGAAGACATCTGTTCATTTTTGTGCGCTATGTCACTTTTTAAAATTTTTTATTCTTCACAGTTATGATATAAAGAAACCAGCTTTTTTTATAATATTCTAATATTATTTTAATATATTGTTCACTATTTTGATTCAGATCTCGAACATTAATAGTCAAATCTTTTCCACTAGATCTTTGTTGTCAAAGTCAACGCAGAAGTATCAGCAGTAGTTTTTCTTTGTACTTAACCCTCGGATGCCCAAGCAGCGTCCAGATGAGTCCCAGAATAGGAAATAGACATGGGTGTGGGTGGGGTGGGTGTGGGTGTGGGTGTGGGTGTGGGTGTGGGTGTGGGTGTGGGTGTGGGTGTTGTCTCTTTCTACCGACACCCTCACCCATACCCACCCCATACTCACATCCACGCTCGCCCACACCCATACCCTATACTCACACCCATACCCACACCCACCCCCTTTTCGGATAAGATAATCGATTCAGAAAGAAAAAACTGAATATCCGATATTGTAGAGCTTTTTGCAGCGCATCGAATAATATATAGTAAATCTTGTTTTCATAAGACTTTGAAGGAACTAAAGTCAATTTACTGATAGACGACTGCGCACTCACACTCAAGCATGAAAGGTTATTGAATATTGTAATTCTTGATATTAGTTACAAGTATTTGTAAAATATTTTTTCTCACATATTATTTTGTAGAGTTTTTGACGAACTACAACCTCATATAAGTAACATCTCCGGTCATCTCGTCGATGTGAATGTGTAGTCGTCTATCAGTAAATTGACTCTAGTTTCTTCAAAGTCTTATGAAAACAAGATTTACTATATACCATTCGATGCGCTGCAAAAAGCTCTACAATATCGGATATTCAATTCTTTCTTTCTGAATAGATTATCTTATCTGACAAAGTCCTTTAAACATTGTGATCAGAATTTTTGTTCAATCGTAAGTATACTATTTTAGATTATCAATGAAATAACTAATGAAAAAAAATCTCAATATTAAAATAATTATCGAAAACTTCTTTGCGTATAATCAATATAATAAAGATCGATATTCCGATACATGATTCTTTCGAATGGTTAAACTCATTGCAACCTATTCAAAATAGGATCGAAAACGCTAAAAAAGAATTCAATAGCAATTTTGAATAAAATTTTGTATAATTATAATAATTCTTTGTAGAAAAAAATTACATATCTCATTTTAGAAATAATAACTATTGTTCATCCAAAAAGTCTGTGCGTGTTGCTATTTTTTGAATAATTCGAGAACAGAAAGTGATAGAGAACTGCAGTTGTCACCATTCGACAGAACAATATCAATAGCATCTATCCACATTTTTATGGCTACTTTTGAACTGATATATTGTTTTCATTGCTTGTTTACACTCAATTTTCCAGGCGTTTCACCCAAATTATAGAAAAATGAAGCCAAAACCACTTTATATTTCAACACCAATTATCATATTAGTAAGAAATCCTGTTGAAAGAAAAACACCAAAATAACCAATCTAAATTTTCTCATAAATATTATGTGGTTTTGGCTTCATTTTTCTATAATTTGAGTTGAAATGTTTAGAAAATGGAATAAAAAAAAGGCAACGAAAAAAATTTTAGTTCAACAGTAGTCATAAAAGGACGCTTGAAATCTAGTGTGTCTTAGGCAGATAGATGCTACTGATGTTGCTCTTTCGAATGATGGAAATTGCAGTGCTCTATCACTTTCTGTTCTCGAGTTATTCAAAAACTTTAAAAAATTTATTTTCTGCATAGGAATATTTCAATTTATTTATAAGATAAGTTATTTTACTTTTCTATAAAAAAAATATTTAACCGAAATATATTCCTAGTGCATGTACGGAGTTCAAGGTACCAATATAATTGGTCATTTGTCAGTAAGGAACTTCTTTTCGAGTATCCTGCTACTAGTATGTCACAGAATCTTTATTGGGTACCCTGCTTAGGTTTGTTCTAGTACATGGATACTTACCAGATGCCCTTCCATTTTCTAAAGCATTCTATGAAAAATTTTTCAACAAGTTAGTAAATTGAATATTTCAAATGATTTTATAGTTAAGCACTAAAAACCTAGAAAAGTTTTTTCCTTATTGAAAAAAATAGAATATTTAAAAAACAATGTATTATTTTCCTCAAATATTATCATACGATAACAATTATATAAATATTTTTCATTGAATATCTTTTTTTTTTCTAAATTAGAAACAATTCTCATTTGTTATTAAATATAACATTTTAATTATAAAAAAAAACATTTGACAAAATCGAAAAATATATACATTGACAAAAGGACACATTTTATTTTAACAACTATTAATTGTATAGATCTAATACTACTACGATTATATAATGGTACTGAAGTACTATGTACGAAATTTGATTTTAGCAAAAGTTAATTGGATACATATTAATTTATCATTCATATTTTTAACATAAAAAAAGATACAAAGAAATTCTCCTCATTAGAGAAAAGATTTAGTTTTCTTCTATAACAATGAAGATTTCTTTATCTTTATTTCATAAAGTAAGAATATAATACAAGCAGAATTGAAGACAGACAAATACACGTAAAAGAGTAATCACATAGCTTTAATTTCTATACAAAAAAAAATTATCTACAGTCTTCATGAAGTTGAGAGAAAAAAAACATAAAATAAAACAATCAGTCTACAATATTATTCATGTATCTTTACAATTTAAAATCTCACTCAACCTATAATAAAAGTTGTTAGTTGTCTTTTGTTCCATTATATTTCATAGTCAATCTAAAAAATTGTCTTTTTTTTTAATCAAAGATTTATTTATCTATGTGTAGAAAACAAAATTCGATCGAATTATCAATTCATACATGCAGACAAATATTCAAACTTACTTGAGAATGCAATAGTTGAAATGAAAAATCGTTTTTCTTTCTTGTCTTATTCAAAGTCTCCATTCATTAAAGTCATGTAAATAGCTCGTCCAAAACAAAAAAATAAAGGATCATTCGTTTCTGTATATCATTATTATGCTAAATATTCTGAAAAAAAACGAGCATAAGTACCCATATTGACTACACATATTTTCGTCTATGAGTAAATCTACCAGGAAAAACTTGTACGAGAACTCGCTGGATGAATATTTCCAGTAAGGCAATCTGATCCTGCAGTCATAGTCTTATTTTTGTCCTTACATTCATTTCTTTCATTCAATGTTAAAATCAATACTAAAACAAACAAAAAAATGAAATCCAACAAAACAAATCCTTAAATGTTTTTTTTCTTTAGTTTACATGGCCTTTTAGAGTTCATTACTGGTGATACTCTATTATTGATATGAGAGTATTCGATTACTATGTGACTAGACGTTCTGATCTCATGACCGATAGTAGCTGCCTACTCACTCTGTTTTCTGTTCTCCATGTTCTCTCTCTCTCGTATATAAGATCGTGTTCTGTGTGAAGTGGACAGAACGGGAGTGATGGAGTAGTGTTGTGAACATTGTACATCGAAGATAACCGTAACACTACTCCTCCAAAGTTGATCAACAATAAAATGGATACTGCAGTGATAATGACACGGACTATCCATCATTTTCGTTACAATGTCTGAAGGTATTTCTTCAATAACAGACTCTTATTAGTTACAAATTTGTTCAAATCTCTAAGGGAAAAAGAGAGAGAGAGAGAGAGAGCGTGTATGTGCAAGGAAATATGTTCTTCATTATAAAACCCTTTTTTTTGTGTATGACATGAACATAAATGTAATTTTTTACAGAATCTCAAATAATCTCTCTCCTGCTTCGTTTTGTTTTTCAAGACAAGTCTTCTAATATATCGTAGTATTGAATTATTTGTCTTTCTTCGTCTACAGAAAGATGATGATGATGATGATTGTTTCTTGTGCAATTTCAAGATCGATCATTGATATTTTTATTTAGATATGCTTTAAAAATGATTCAATATTAAGAATCATTTTTATAAAGATTTATTTTCATCTTAGGATGATTTGTGTTAACAAAAAAAAAATTTTACCATTGAGAATAGCAATATACTTTGAGAAAAACAGTTTACTTGTCACTTTCTTACATATCATTTCAGACATCATTATTTGCCTTATCTTTGTTCGGAACGATAACATTGGAAATAAAAAAAAAAAATCTTGTGCTATTTTCTGCTTGGTTTCGATACAGGAGAAAGGAAATTGACATAGAGACATTTTTATTTAGTTTAATAAAATAAATTCTGAACTTGGAAACTATTTTGTAAGGCAAAGAAACAACAGAAAAAGTATTCATATTGTATCCATTACATGAAAAACTAATAGAATAATTGTTTGCTGAAATAAAATGAAAGAGAAAGTTCATTAGACTGTGTACATTTGTCAATGATGTTTTTGACTGCTGCCAGAACCACTTGATGTGCCGCCTTGACCAGATGATCCATGAATGTCTGAACCTTGAATAAACAAAATAAAATAGATTATGTGATACTCTTTTCTATGAAGAAAATCAATTTTAATCGAAATTCTTCAAAAGAAAAAAAAATTATTGTTCTCTTTATTTATACCATTACAAACAAAAAAAATGAATTTATTTTTAAAGATTAATGAATAATATAATTTGAACAAATGAATCTAATTCTTTCGAATAAATAAGATTCTTATTCAAAAAAGAAAAAAAGAAATCTTTAGCTCATTTTCAATGACAACAATATATAAAAAAATCTAATCATGTTACTTGATTTATGTTGAAGACACTTTTCTTAATATCTCTGATAGTTTTTCAAGATAAAAATATTCAATTTTCTAATTCTTTCCTTTAATCGAGTGTTTGTTTCAATTATATTCAATAGAAAAAGATATATATTCATATATTCTTTCTTGATTTACCTATTAATTTAAAGTGAAGTTTTAAAATAAAACTAAAATCATGAATTTACCTAAACCTGTATTTGTACTCATTCCACCTTGACCAGCCTTACCAGAAATGCCAGTATCATGTGTTCCTCCATACCCCTGACCACTTGACCCACCCATACTACCTGATTGACCAGTAGTACCAGCACCTGAACCTCCCATTGATGACGAACCAGAATGTTGTGCTGTATCACGATTAGAACTTGATTGTTGACCAGATGAAGACATTTGAAATATTGTATTCACACGAGAAAATAAATGTTTGTTACTTCTTTGTAAATTTTGTCTATCGAACAGAGCCGAACATGTGTCTTATATAGGAATGATAGTACGCAATAGTTAAAATAATCACCATGAATAAACATTTTTTTGACTCTTAATAGAGAGAATAATTGTGAGAGAGAAAAAATAGAAGAGAAGACGAAGAATCTTATTTATCAACGGAATTTTTTTCATACTTGATTTGTTTTCTTTTCTGAACGAGATCATTCAGTTCGATTTATTCTCGGTTGAATAGTAGAAAAGGTAAATGAGGGCAGTTGTTCGTTCTTTTTCTAATTTTAATATGTACTTTTAGAAAAATGATCTATACACATAGAATAATCTTTTTTTTTTTGCAAAGTCATCATTCCCAAATTGTAACAATTGTTTCAAACTTACAAAAGTATAGATTATTGAAAATAATATATTTATGAAATGGTCAACGAGACTATTGAACATCCTTAGACATGATCATACTCTCGAAAATGTTGATCTCTATAATTTTTATTTCTTATAACAAATGAAAGAGTATTTATCAAAAAATCTCTCAATGGAAATATTTAGTCTTTTCTAATTTGTCTCTGAAAATTTATGAAGTCAACACCAATCAGATTTTCAACTAACCATTCCAAAATAATGTTTTCTTTCATTAGTTTCAACGTTTGATCATTTTCTCCATAATATCTCATTTAACAGAGATAATGTAATTCTACAAAAATGTATATATGTACATATCTTCATTATATAGAGACATCAGACACAAAATTAAGTCACATATATCTTTTTTTTTAGTACATACTTGATTTCTCTACTAATTCAGATGAGTCCAGAAAATATCTTTATTAATTGCGGTAGAATTTTAAAAAAAAAGAGCTATTCAATAAGTATAAATGTTTTGATATACAATTGGTAACTAGCTTTTTTCTGATACGTACAAGACTCCGCACCATGCTGCCAATAATTAGTTTTCCATACATCTAATGGAAATAGACTTTTATTCAGTTTATTCACTTGATCACAAATCAATCAGAAAACAAAAATAGATGAAGTTGAAATATACTCAATCACACTTTGATATGTACGAACAAAATATAGATCATCTGTTATCTTCAAAAAAAAAACAAGATACAATATTAACTATCATCATTCAGTCTTTCGCTGAACAACAGTTCTTGTTATCCTATTTGAATCGTCATTGAGTTAGAGTTGAGCACAATCATACCAAAATAAAAGACCGAATGAAAATTATTCACTATGAAAAATTCGTAACAAAAGAATACTAGCTCTAACTTTCAAATGTTCACTTATCAATATGTGACAAATATGAATCATACATTATTCGAAAGAGAAGAAGATTTCTTATCAACTGATTAAAAAAAAACATATTCTTTTCAGAATCGTTTTATGGAAGAGATATAAGATCGACATTTTGCGCAATCGTTTTATAGAAAAGTACAGATTCTTTTTAAGAGCTCTTTCCTTTCTAGTTGCGCCATTAAATTTATGAGTGTATTATAAAAATAAGCTATATATGATTCGAAAAGACAAAAAAATTCTCTAAAACTTTTAGTTTTAAATGCATTTATATATTATCATTTTTTTTTCTTCTTTTTATGTATGATTAGATGAATTATAGTTTTTTTTTTAGTATTAACACACAATTCACAATATTTTTGTCTCGATTAATTGTTTGGGTTATAATAAGATAAACCAAAAAAAAAATACTTAATAAACTTCTAGACGTTGTTCACTGTCAGGTCGATGAGTACACGTATTTTCTCGTCTGAAAAAGAAAGAGAATATATACATATTCTTGCTTGTGTTTTTCTCCCATTCTTCTAAAGGAAAAAGTCGCATGGAATGTTATGAAACATGATTTGTCGTATGAAGGGTAAAAGAACGAAGAGAAAGATTTATGAAAGTGCACATTTAAATCGTACTCAATTCTTGTTATTTATACATAAAAAGCAAAGAGAACTGTATAACCCATAAGGTTAGTGACGTTCTATAGAAAAATACTTTCATTAATTTTATTAACTCATCAAATTAATTTAACATTTTTTAGACAAAAGAAAAAAAATACTTTACTTTAGATTATTACGAAAACTTCCACTTACGAACATCGAAGATGATCTAGATATGCAAGATACTAGTCAAAGTTCTAATTTTAAAAAAAAATTTTCATGTAGATTAGAATGACCATCATCTGAACCTATCAAATTCAAATTTTCAGCTTCTTTGGATATTCTATAAGAGAAGTTAGCTTCCAGTACAATCAGCCTACTACAGAGAAAATAGTTAAAATTTTCCCATAGATATCTAGTAAGATTATATTTTAAAGTCTTTTTTTATGCAATATATCAGAAGACAGACTATCTAAAGTTAAGAACAATGAGCTATTTAAGAATTAGATGATACACAATTTCTTAAATAGATCATTATTCTTCATTTTTTGATATGTTCTACGAAAAAATTCTCTGACTTTTTAAAGTATAATCTCAATATAGACATCTATGGGAAAATAATAACTATTCTCTTGGTAATAGGTTGATTTTGCTAAAACATTTGTGTAGACTACATTTTTCTGTAGAACATTCAGATAAGCAACAAATTTGAATTTGGTAGTTTTGTATGATAGTCATTCTAATACACATTAAAAACAATTACAAACTTTGACCAATGCCTCGGTTTCTTGGTCCCTTCATAAGTACTTTCTTAATATGTTATTAAATAAAATTTTGTATTCTATTATAAAATATAATTTAGTTCATACGAACATGTTTCTTATAAGACTGTATAAATATATCAAAAAAAAAATGTGAAAATGAATTTGTAACAAAAATAAAAAGCTGTTAGTGCAATCCCAGCGGGATTAAAATATGAAACACGATATATCTATTGTTATTAATCCCCCAAAAAATTGTCTTTTTTTTTTACATATACTGAACATATTGCATCAGCATTGCTAAATTTATAGCGGAGAACGTCATGAAGGACATACTTCATGAATACTCCAAAATTAGATGTTAGTTATACATAACGTCTGATAGTCTCTTGAAGACGGCTATCAGGCGGTGTGACGACCCATGAAGGGACTCTGTGACGGTCACATGACTGTCTGCAAAGGAGAGGGAAGTGAATGCAAATTTCTATCCTATATACTTCAAGACGCCTTTTAGATCGTATTTTACAAAATAGTTACCTAGTGAATTGAGACTTATCATATATCTAGAGTGAATTCGTCTTGATTTAAATTCATAAAAATATATATTCACAACTTACTACAATTGTCCATTGAACAATAATCTTAAAAAATAACGAAAAAAATCTTATCTGATAATCAGTTCACATGAAAATTATTCGTTTAATAATATTCATAAATTATAAATGTTGTACATATTTATTAAATAGAAATTTAATCGATTGTATTTGTCTGAGAAGGTTAAAATTATTTTAATAAGTAATATTGATAGTAATTATAGAATATAAAAATCAATTATGCAATTGAAACGATCATCTGGAATATTATTACATATAACATCATTACCATCATCATTTGGAATTGGTGATTTTGGTCCAGAAGCTTTTAAATTTATTGATTTTCTAGCTGAAACAAAACAAAAATTATGGCAAACATTACCTATATGTCCAACAAATTCTCCATCACCATATTCAAGTATGAAGTAAATCCTAATAAAAAAAAAAACGTTTTTTTCTAATGGCACTCTCAAGAAAGAGCAATCGAAGATGTACATCATGACTAAACATCTGGATGTGGGTTTGACGGTAGTCCGCTTTTAACATACATACTTGTAAATTAAAAGAGCAATTTTCAAAATTAATGGCAAAGATATTCTGGATTCAAGTGCTAAAAAATCTCAAAACTTACCTAAAGAAAAAATTTGTTTAAAGTTTTACTTAGAGTGTTTTTAAACCAATAAATTAACCTCTGTAGAAATTCTGAATAATATAAAAGATAATTTTTCATTATTATATTTTGTTTTTTTTTTCAATAGGTTTATCAGCATTTGCAGGTCATTCATGGTTAATATCACCAGATAAATTATTAGAAAATAAACTTTTAACAAAAGATGATTTAAAATCAATTGATCAATCGAAATTTAATAATTCATATGTTAATTTTGATGAAGTAAAAAAAATCAAAGAACAATTATTGGAAAAAGCATATGTTAATTTTAAAAATAATAATAAACAAGCGCAAGAAATTTTAAATGATTTTTTTCAACGTGAACAATATTGGATTGATGATTTTACATTATTTATGACAATCAAAGAAAAAGTAAGACTATGAATAAGATAAAACTTTTATAAAACAAAAAAAAGTATTTCTCTCGTTTGATATTGAATCTTCGAAAAGTTTTTTGTAAAGCCAAATGAAAAAGTGCAAAAAAAAAGAATGAATATAAGCTGGTTAGAAGATTTCTGGGAACTTTGAAAAGCATCGAAAATCTCTTTCATTGAGTAGTACAACGGAATGTCATGCTATGAGATGACATTCACATTGTGGCTCTACTAAACACATTAGTGTTTCGAATAAAATGTGTTGATCTGTAGAGAAAGCGAAATCGTGTTTCACCTTCTTGTCATAAAGATCTGTGAGTATTCAGAGACGCTTGCTCTTGTAGGAGATAATCATCGAGTGATCGTTCATTATAGACGGAAGCGAAGAAGAAATCCTTCTGACAATGGCAGCAATATATACACGTTTTAGCAAAGTATGGTAACAGTGGTTAAGCATCAACCGTTAGCAATTGATGAACATAGTGCCAAGAGCTAATAGCCAAGTGAAAAAAGAGGAGCACAAATATAGAGAATAGAGCACGTTGAAGTTTTAATAAGGAATCTGCACTATATCTGATCGAATTTGCCATTGCTGTTTGCTTGGCGAATTTGCAAACATGTTCGATCGATAACATTATCACAACATACATAGTCTGATAATATTGATCTTTTTTTTTTTCGAAGTATTCAGCTAGTTCTCTACAATTAATTATTACGTTAATATGTTTCTATTTTGACAATGTCTTGATTTATTTCATTTGTTTTTAACATTTATGTCAAACTTCAATTCAAGTATTCAACTATTCAAATTAGAACTTCTCAAATGTTCTGCGAATATTCAGTGGGAAAATGCTTTTCCTCGTCTAACCCATCTTTTATTTCAGCGTCGCGGCATAGAGGCGCGAAGCATTTTCCGAAGAGCCGCGACGCATGCACGTCTCTGGACACATCATTAGTCCTACTTACTGCTGCATGGTAGCTCGAGCTTCTCACATAGTTCTTGTAGCACCCAGAAAATATCTGAAGCATCTCAACCAAAACCTGTAGCATCCTAGAAGAAGCTTGTAACATCCTATGTAGTACCGGCAGCATTCTAGAGGATCCTGTCGTATTCCAGGCTCTGACTAATTGATAACTTGAATATTTGAATTCAACTTTCAAGTTTGACACTAATGATTTTTAAGGAAATAAGAATAATGATCGTGACATATGTCCACGAAGAACAAAAGGACATTTGTTCTACGATCGTAAGCGATTCTGTTACGTCATAGACAACCTTTTTATGATCGTTTATATAGCTAAGTATTACGATCTGATATTGTCTGTAATTATATACAGAGATATATAAAGTAAAATTGATACAGTAAACTAGTGTTTTTGTTTCCTTCAATGATCATAATTTTCTGTATACGAGGTAGAGAAGGATGATCTTTTAGCTTCTCCGCAAATCTCTGATTTATTCATTGAATAAAAATATTCGAAGAGAATTTATTTAAAAACCCTCTTGATATATGAGAATAAATAAAAATTATTTTTTTTTTTTATAAATTTTAATTTTAGTAAAAAAAAAAAAGTATTTTAAAAAACATAATCTTGAAATATTCATATATTTATAGGAAAACGATTATCTTAATTAAAAAAAACGAATAAATAAATTGTTTATTTAGCATAAAGATACTATATGGTGTGATTGGCCTGAACCTTTACGTCGTCGTGAACAAACTGCTTTACAAATGATTCGTCAACTTGAGAAAGATCGTATAGAATATTATTTATTTGTTCAATATATATTTGATCAACAATGGAAAGAATTAAAAAAATATGCAAATGATTCTAAAATCAAAATAATTGGTGATATACCTATCTATGTTGATTTTGATTCAGTTGATGTTTGGTCAAATTCTCTTATATTTCAATTAGATCATGATGATACTATGAAACCAACTGTTATAGCAGGTATTTTTTTTATTGTAGAACTCACATGATGTTTTTCGAGGAAAAAATATGTATAAAAACAATTTCTCTGTAGTATTTAATATAAAATAATATATATGAATCTATTATTATTTGATAGGTTTTCCACCTGATCATAGTTCAAGTACAGTACAAAATTGGAATATGCCAGTCTATGATTGGAATAATGAAAATGTTAGAAAAGATTTATTTGATTGGTGGATAAAACGTTTGCGTAAAGCATTGACAATTGATGATTTACTTCGAATTGATCATTTTCGTGGTCTAGAAGCACATTATATTATACCAGTTGATATTAAAACACAAAAACCAAATACTTCACAAGCACATTGGGTTAAAACACCGTAAGTTAATTCAAATGAAAATATTTTTATAAAAACTTTTTTTTCCTCCGATTAATTGATTTGGTATCAAACAAAAATTTATTTCATTGAAAATATAAATTAAAAAACAAAAATATTTTTCAGTTAATTAATCATTTTTAATATTAGATAATAAAGTCTATAATTGAATATTTTCTGGAATTAACGGATCTTTTCATATAGAATGCAAGTTTAAGAACAGAGATTTCGGCTTTCTTCTCCTACTCTAGCAACAAATCAAAGAGTTTTATACCTTACCAACAAGAGAATTAAAAGATAGAGTATCAATAGGAATCTTGAAGAGAAATGAATCCTTATTAGAGATATCTTAGATAAAATATTTTATTTTTATAATAAAGCTGGCGAGAAAAGGTCCTCAGCTGATAAATCGCTATTAAATTAACACTACGTGCATCATGTAGGTCTTAATAAACTATGAATACCATGAAAAGATTTTAGACTATTTGCTTTTCGTTACCGAGATACTACATTTTTATGCTATTTTTTAGGTCACTTCCGTAGTCCTCCTTACAAATACCAGAAAAAAAACTGACAAAGAAACCATCCGATGTGATCTACCGCTTTTGAGCTTACGTTTTGGGCATATAGAGAAGTCGACCTCTAGACTAGAATAACCCTAAAAGGACTCGCGCCCATAGGCCTTCTCTACAGAGTTATAGCAATTTAACTTAAGTTTTAGCCTATGGCACGGTATGTACAAATAAATTGACTGACGATATTTCGATCTGAAATTTTGTCCACAGAAAGGTCTACTTATAATTAGAATATCCTGAAAATTTCAGCTGAAAAGAATGTTTCCTTCGCGAGATGTTGAATTTTCAAAAATTACTCAGATCCTATAAAAGATGCGAGAATCTCATGTGTTATCGACATTTAATATTTCACGAAGAAAACATTCTTTTCAGCTGAAATTTCAGAACATTCTAATTACAAGTAGACCTTTCTGTGGACAAAATTTCAGATCGAAATATCGTCAGTCAATTTATTTATACATACCGTGCCATAGGCTAAAACTTAAGTTAAATTGATATAACTCTATAGAAGAGGCCTATGGGTCCAAATCCTTTTAGAGTTATTCTAGTCTAGAGGTCTCCTCTGTATGTCCAAAATATGAGCTCAAAAGCAATGAATCACTTTGAGCGATTCCCTCGTGAGTTGCAAAATTTGACTTAAAATTTTGCATGGAGACAAGCGTTTTAAAGAGAATAGTTTATTGTGGAAATTTGAGATTTTTTGATTTCTCTTATTGTGTTCTCGAAAGGACTACGGCATTATACTTACGGTAGAAATACAATATTTCAGCAGTAATAAGCTAATAGCTTGAAATCTTTTCATAATATTCACAGCTACGGATAAGTCGATTCACCATTTGAAGCTATTAAGAAACTGAACTCACAATCTATTTAATAAATGATTAATAAACAAAAAAAAATATTTAAATTACTTTGAAAGAAAATTATCATTATCTTTCTTTTTTTTTTGTTTTGACTGATATTGAAAATATATTCATTTTTAGTGGTCATGAATTATTGACAGCTGTAACAGAATCACTTGGTTCAGATGTTCCATTAATTGTTGAAGATTTAGGTGATGTTACACCAGAAGTATTTGAATTACGTGATCGTTTTCAATTATACGGTGTTAAAATTTTACAAATGGGTTTCTATTATGATACAGACAATATGTATTGTCCACATAATTACACTCCAAATTCAGTTGCATATACAGGTTTTTATCATGTTTATTTTATTATTAATAGAATAAGTAGTTTTACAATTTTCTCATTGAAATATTTTTCTGAAAATTATTTTTATTATTTAAATAGTGATTAATCTATCTGTAGATAAATATAACATGTTTTTTACACTCAATAAATCGATTTCAATTAAATTTTGTGGAACTGACATATATTTTCGAAGAAAATACTGATCGCCAGTTTTAAGTCAAGGTTGTGCAGCTTTATCTCTCTCCCTCCCGTTATACACCTTAGCAACTTACAGTGGGCAACCAGGCGGACATGACTGAAAGTTCTATTTTCCAAAGTTCAGATATTGGAATGAATACATCTATGGTTAGTCTATCTTACCCTAAAACTAGATTTCCAGAAATCAAGCCAAATCCTGGAAAAGCCCATGCTCAAAAAATTTGTTCATAAATTGTTAATTATACGCAGAAGATTTTTGTTATTAACTTATTAAAATATTTTAAAATGAAAAACTATTTCAAACGAACGACTGACTCATAAGTTTCATTGTGTGAAAAAATTATTTCGATCCAACAAGAAATGGAGTAGAAAAAAAGCGATTACTGGGCTAAAAGTAGGTGTAAAAATCGGTCGTACCGTATTTTGTGAACTCCCAAAAGGTTTTTAATCCGATTGAGCTGAGACTTTCACTAATTATTCTCTTATATATGATTTATCGTTGGCCATAGTGCCGTGTCGTACCAGTGAACAGAAACGGTGCTAGTGATTTCTTAAAAAAACCAGGCTTCTGACCCGAAATCGTTAGTTTTGCGAATACGGAGGTATTTTTATGCAAAACCAAAGTGATATTCGAAATCAGCTCGTCGGGCTGCACCGAATCATATATAACAGTAAATGTTTCTCGGAAAAAAAGTCGGTTGCTGTGCCCAACAAGATTCTTAGAACTAGTCTTTTTATATTTTGTAAACCTCCAAAAGAATTTTCGTCCAATTGATCTCAAACTTTCAGTAAGTACTCTTTCGCGCCTAGTTCATCGTTGGCAATAGCATCATTTCGCACTGATGAGCATAGTCGATGGTATGGGTTTTCTAAAAACTGAGGTTTTTGTCCCTAAATCTCTATTTTTGGAAACAAGGCATCATTTGGGTGCAAAATCAAGGTGATATTCGGAATCAGTTCGTCAAGTTGCATCGAATCATATATAACAATAAGTATTTCTCCAGAAAAAAAAATTGGGGTTTTGCTAGATATTGCTTCGAAAATTGGTCATTCCATACTTTGCTAACCCTATAAAGAGATTAAGTCCAATTGATATGAAGTTTTTACCGATTATTCTTCTATATGTGATATATCTTCGGGCTTAGCGCCACATCGCGCTGAGGAATCCAGGCTATGTTAGAAGTTTTCCAAAAATCCAGGCTTCTACCCCTAAATCCCTATTTTCTCGATTTCGATAGCATTGTGACGCAAAATGAATGTGATATTCGGAATCAGCGAGCAAAACTGCATCGGATGATGTATGACACAAGAGATTCCCTAGCAAAACATTTTTTCGAAAATCTAGGCAAGGGTCCCCTCGGGTGTTTCACCCCAAAAATTTTTTTTTCAAAAAATGCTTTATTTTCGTAAATTCGATTTTCTGAATGATATGCAAACACTTCTGAGTAACGGCAATCTGTTTCAGAACACAAAAGTTACATGTTCGCCTGCTTCATGAAAGTTGCCCACTGTGCAAGTGGAGCCGACTTTTTACCCAGAGTGCCTTATCAACGGAAAAAGACATCACGTGATCAGTATAAAAAGCATGAACTGATCAAGTTATAACTTTGGGGAATGATTAATATCAGCGTTTCTAAGCTTATCAAGATATATAATAGTGCATTGACAGACTGATTGCCAATACTGATAGAACAAGTTTAGACGAAAAATAAACATAAGTAATAGAACTAAGTGCAAAGCTAAAAAGAAAACCAATACATAGATAAAATTTAAAAGGACGAGGACATAAAACATAAATTCATACAAAAAATAAAAATATACAACGAAACCAGTGCATCACTTTTGGATCGTATAAGTCTATAGAGGCGTCTCTGAGAAAGAGACTACTGCATCATCCATCAGTTCGCCACCTTTGAATCATAAGCAGATCTGGTTTCAGTGACAGTCATTATAAAACACCGTAACCTAAACTCAGATTTTGGTTACTAAATCCAAAATTCTTGTTCTTTCCAACTAACGAACAATAAGTTCGCTTTTAATGGCACCATAGCTCGATCTAACATTCCATGATCGAAAAAGTGTTGTCTCGGTTGTAGTAACAACTTTTATTTGTTCCATTTCTATAGTCAGATATTGCAGTACCGAGCTCCTGAAAGCGCATAAGCACTCTCTAGGCACAGTATAATAGTGTCTTGAGATCTGCTATAGAATGATGGATTCGTACAAAAGGTTTATTTATCAGTTAAACCAATGTTTAGAATAAAAAAATAGCGAGCGAATAACAATAAAGCAATAAAAAAATAGTGCTAGTAAAACAAAAAATTTCTATTCACTATGAAGATATAAATAAGAGAGAATGTTTATCCCTGAAAAAACAACCATAGTTTGCTATAGAAACCTTTCACTTAACATACTTTCTACTGATATGATGAATTTGAAGAATACATATGAGTTCCATATGTTAGCCTCAAAAGAGCTATACTATTTCAATAAAATTCTTTAAAATTTTCATATAAAACATATTTTATATTCTATATTTACTGATTCCGTTCATTTAATAATTCGAGAATTTTATTTTATTTTAAAATTTGTAATAAATAATGTAGGTACTCATGATAATCCAACAACATTACAATGGTGGACAAAAGAAGCATCTGAAAAAGAAAAAAAACAATTTATTGAATATATTCGTCGTCCAATTGATGGTGATAAAGAATTAATAAATGGTTTAAAACTTGATAAACATGTTGATAAATATATTTGTTGGTATTTTATACAAATTATTTTACAATCAGCTTCAAATGGAGCAATTATTCAAATGCAAGATATTTTAAATGTTTCGACAAGAATGAACGAACCAGGAATAGGTACGTAAGTAATTTATACTATTACATATTATAAAAACTAATATAACAAACAGTGAGAAAATAAAATTTATTTATTTATTTATTTATTTATTGTTTATAGCATCTGATATTGAACATAATGGTCTACAAAATTGGTCATGGCGTTTTGAATGGTCTCAATTAACATCAGATATTCGGATGCGATTAAAAAAATTAACACAGATGTATGGACGCGATTTAAAATATGGTAAATCTATTCCACCAGATGATATGGTTATGAAAGATGAGTCGAAATGTATTTTACAATAAATTCATACATTTTTATGATTATATTTTTCGATTCATTATTTTGTTTTTGTCCCATTTCATTTTTTAAACTAGCACATAACTCTATTTTTTTTGTTGTTGTCCTCTTTACTTCTTTAAAAACGAATAAAAAATATTCTCGTGAACATATTTCTTCGAAATACTTATTTTTGATTATTTTTGTCAAATGGGAACTTCCAGTAAATAACTTGATTTTATAGAATTTATGATCAAAAATTAATATTCGAAATTTATACAAAATAAGCTACTGAACTATGTATTATTCTACAATTCAAAAGAGTATGAATGTAAGGTGTGGCTTTTTATTTCTCCCCGAACTCACATCCATTTTTGAACTAATATCATAATAATAAAATTTCGATAAAAGATACTTATTATAATATGTGACGATAACATTTATATATATATGGTTCAGTACCTGCGTGTCTGTCTGTGCGGGATCAAAGGTTAAATAAGGCTATAAGGCAAAGGCACCAAGAGCTATTATATGGGGGTACCCCTTAATGGCTATTATATGGGATAGCCATAGGCCCTGAAGGGAGTAAGGTAGTAACGGAGTCGGTAATAAGGGTAAGGGTGTGGGTGTGAGTGTGGGTGTTTATTTCTTCTTCACTCACACCCAAACCCACACTGTCAAGGTGCTATAAGCAAAGAGAATAAAATTCTCTATTTATTAATGCTAAACATTTTCGATTTTTGGATATAGAATAGAGTCTGTTTCACACAATCCTACACCAATCCATCAGTACTTATTGAGTATCGAAGTTCGCAGTTAGGCGATTGAATATTTGTTAGTTTTTCAAATTTTTTGCTTATATAAGAAAACTTATTTGAAAAACAAAGTTGAAAGTTTTGCAGAGCAATAAACGCTCTGTCTGTTGAGCTTCAAATAAAATCTTTGAAGTATACTTCTAATTTCTAAAAAAATGTCCCGTTCTTTGTGAACCGTTCGTTATATAATAAAACCATGATTGTTTTTCGTGACGTAAGTGAAAAATAATTGTATTTTATCTTATTGACATTTCTTATTTGTTGAAGCTAATTAGCATTTTTCAGTGACTTAACACAATCAACAATATCCAGATATTACTCCTGAAATCAAATTTCATCATTATAAAAAATAAGGACTTATAAAAGTCATGTTGAACAGACGAAAAATATGCGAGACATTCATAGGTATACTTTTTATCGATACTTCAACCTTAAGTGTCAAGGACTAAAAATATTTGCAAAAGATGATTTAGAGGGAAATTGATAATGATATATAGAAATCAACAATTTGAGTCATACATTCTTAAAGTACATTTTTTACATCGGCATGACTATCTTGTCTTATAACGTTAAAAGTAACTAGTACTTACAGTGGATAACTTTCATTATCATACAATATTTTGATTTTATTTTGATTTAAAATATACATAGTGGAAACTAATTCTAGGATAGAAAAGAAATAATAATAAAGAATATTTAACTTCATCAATAATTATTATTACTCTTTATGTCTCTGGTATGATTTGATTCCTAATCATTCTTCGTCGTTTACATCGATTGAGATGAATCATGAATAACACATAGATCAGTGGTCGATAAAAACATTCTGATGCACAAATATATATGTAAAATGGACTCTAAAATGATATAATTAAATAAGAAATAAATTCTCATATTTCTTTTTTTACATTTCTATTCCTAACTACTTGATAATGTAACAATCTACAACGGTCACTGATTATTCCTAATAATCTTCGAGTATCTGATATTTACTGCAAAATATATATAGTAAATGACAAGAGTTATAGGTATGACCAACAGAAGATTCGTTTGCAGAACTGAATCATGCGTACTGTTTGCATTAATTGCTATAGCATTAACAGTAGTATATGGTATTAAAGTAAAGATATTTACGACAACTTGTACTAGAACCATTATAGTTAACTATCTATCTAATTCACGTCGAACAAGAGGCACTGTACGATATGTTATTTATTGCACATTATAATAAGCCATCAATCCAAATAAAGTTGCAATAGTAATGGGTAGATATCCAATAAGGCCAAGAAAGATAACAAAAGCACGATATTGAGTAAAAATAGTGTTTGTACTAGGCGATTGAATATGATTAAAATAAACTAAGAATGGAATTCCATGCAAAGACCATATAATATTACTTATGATTGCTAGACATTGGGCCAATTCGATATTACAAAATTGCTGCCAATGTGAACGATAACATGTAGAACAATATTGATCGAATGTAGCTAAACAGAGACATGTCAATGAAATTGCAGTACATACATGAAATAAATATAATCGAAATTTGCAATAGAATAATGATGTTTCTGTTCCATCAATATCATATAGTGCGATCATAATTCGTAAAAAAAGACCAGTAAACAATTGACCAATATTAAAAATAGACATAATAGTTAAATAAAATGCACATGAACTGTCTCGAAATGTTTGAAGACTAAGTAATACAAGAGTATTAAGAAGTCCTCCACATACACCACTAAGAAAGGAAGGTGTTCCACAATAAATGATTATTTGTTTTCCAATAAAAGAAAATGTTGTTGACATTTTGACTTGTAACGATAATGTTTTCTATTAAAAATGATTAATTTTCTTCTGCAACAAAAATGGACTATTGAAGTATATCTTTCTGTTTTAACGTGTAAATACGGATAGAAAAAAATAGAAAAAAGATTGACGTTAAAAGGAAGTAGAATTTGATTTGTCACGAGTTATTATCGTTTTTTGTCAGACATTTACCGTCTTTTTTTTCCTGTTAACAACGTCAACTAATGATTAACAATAGGGATAGAACACATTTATCTCTCATGTCTATGAAATTATTTTTCTTTGAAGATGTTTCTTAATGAGAAACATCTTTGTTCATTAGATCATTAGTCACTTAAGCTAATTAGTAATTTGGTACAATCAACAATATCAAGGTATAATCTTGGAATATAATGACATGATTATGGAAATAAGGGTTAATAAAAGTTGTGTGTAGAACAAGTAAAAGAAAGAAGAATATATACAGATAGAATAATTTTCATATAAATGAAATTTTTCAATTCATTGAAACGTTAGATTTTTATGTTTCGTATTTTTTATGTACTTCATTCTGATATAAGAAATAACTAATAAAATCTTTTGAAATGTATAAATAAAACTAGTTCTATAGCACAGTTGTCACAAGAAATATGAGATCTATCTCTAGTCTGTTATCACATTTAGATAAATCATCAAATTAATATCAACTGCGAGATCAACTTATGCACTAAAGCGAAACTTATCTTGAGAAATTCATATTTACAGTATATGAAGTATATCATACATAGAGTTTATTTATGATCTTAAATTTTTCTGATACATCAAAGTTCGGTACTTAAATTAAAATTATGAAGTTGATTTAACAATATCTTTTTTTATGTGTTCTCAAGCAAAATTGATTGTGCTGTTATTGTCAAACTATAATTGTAGTGTAGTGCTATCATTTACGCGTAAAACAAAAATGTAGTTTCAAAGAACATTTATTTTAAGTTATTTCTACCATAATTTTTTTTTGACACTTCCACTCAAATCAGACGTCACCATGTATAGTGCATTTGACATTGATTCACATTTCTCACTATGCTCTTTATATCACAAAATCACGTACTATTCATGAAAATAATTCATCATGTTTTTCTTGGTTGTTAATGACTCATTGACATACAATGAATGAACAGAACAGAAAAAAATGAATGATCTTTAATTAAAGTTGATAGAAATAAAATATCACAGTTCGATGCATTTATTTGTAGTTTCTACACAAGAATCTCATATGAATACTCGTTCTTGAGGTTCAATTGTTTTTGTTTCATGACTTGATTATTGTATGATGATTTCAGACAATGATTGAGCTCTATACGAATTTTATATTATTCTAACATGTTACTTTCAATATTCTGTTTGTGTGTAAACTTATTCTGAACGAAGTAAAATCTTATCACCAATTGTAATTTTGCTAATTGGCGAATATTCACTAGTAATTCGCCAATTGACGAACATATTGTGTTATGTCAGGAGAGACATTTCCTGACATAAGAGGACTCTCTCTGTAATATTACAGCTCTCGTTAATGGCATTCCTTCTCGTCGCTCTATGATATCTCTTTGTTCTGAAAATAAACAAGGAGGTATATCATGGAAGAAGAGAGAAAAACACATTCTTTGTTGCTTTTTTTGTGTTTTTAATTGACTTGTTTGTTTTTTGTGAAACACGATCTGAAAGGAGTGTTGAAGTGTTTAGGGGTAGAAATTTGGACCCACTCCCCCCCCG